AATCAAACCTGGTTCTCCCAGATTAGAGTCTACACACTTAACCACTACACCAAACTGGCTTAGAAGCTAGATTGAAGGGGGCAGGACAGAAAATGCAGACCAAGCAAAACTGGACAGCGAGAAGCAGACAGGCAGAGTGACTTCTTTGCTGGGACAGCTGCCTTGGAGAATTAAACATCCATCCATCCAGTTTTCTAGACAGCTGTTTTGCCCTGGGCAAATTCAGATTTGCCGAGGGCTGACTGAATTTGGTCTCCACACATGAGTGAGCAGGGAAGAAGAGCAGCAAAAAGCACACATTCATCAGCCTCCACCTGGGTGCCGGTAGGCAGCCCCACCCCCAGAACAAATGTGGCCTAAATTAGGGTTAATGTGACTAGCACCCCCCATGTAAACCGCCCAGAGACCCCCAAGGGGGTTAGGGCGGTATATCAAATCGAATAAATAAATATATTGAAGAAATTCCTGCTTCTCTTCACACTGCTGGCGCAGGCCAGACAGTGTTTTCTGTGATGTCATATTGTAAAAAAAAAAAGGTGAGGATTAGTCAATCACTCCTCCTGCAGGCAAAAGGGAGAACAACACAGTGTGCAGCATTTCACACACATACACAAATTGACTCTTATATGAAGGATCGATCAGAGCTCGCATGAATGCTGAGTTATGCGAATTCATCACAGAAGCCATGACCATGTCATGTAGACATTCGTCTTTATTACATTGCATATGAATTCTTCACAAATATTTTGGAGCTTTTTAAAAATCCTTCTCCATTTTAATTTGATATCTGAGAATTTGTGGTCAAAATTTATAGATTTAATATTGGTATTTCAATGCCAAATCTCCACAGAGATGGATGTCAATAGTTGCCATGATCATCATCAGAAATCCAATCAAATAAAAACCCTAACAGAGGATACTCAGACCTCAAGCTGTGCATTCAAAGGGAATCGCTCCCAAGATCACAGCCCTGCAGATATCATTAGAAGAATCTATTCAACTGCAAAATTACTTGAGACAGCAGAAAATTAACCTAAAAAAACTTGTCTTGAGGTCATGAAAGAAGCTATTCACTGTTAGCTTATTAGAATGTTTTTAAAGAATGGACATCTATGAGATAATGATAGATTTCTGGAGGCTCTCAAAGCACACTACCTTGGGGCACCATGAGGTTGGATCATATTTATGAATCAATTTGGTGTTAGGAAGCTGATACTCCTGCCTTGAAGAAGTGGGTAGGTACTTTCTGTTTCTTTGAACCCTTATTATTCAGATATCCTGAAGGTCACATTATATTTAGACAGGAAGTTATTTTTGCCTCTGCACTCTGGAGAGGCAGACTGCAGGTTTTTGTCTCAGTTCCCCATCAGATTTTACTACCGTGGGACTGGCTGCCACTGCTGTACCACGTGTAACAGAAATAATCAGCCTCGTCTTCAGCCTGGAGATAAACAATGGTTAAATAGCCAGTGTTGCCCGATTCAGAAACGCTGAATCGATCGGGAACCCCGGATCCCCTGCCGCTGCCATAGAAGAGAAATCGAGGGGCCTGTCCAGATCTCTGTTGAAGCCAGCCAAAGTGATTTTTGTTACCGCTGACAGTGCAGGAGAGTTTAGTCGTTTGTCCTGAAGATGTAGAATGTGAGGGAGGCTGAGTCAGAGTTAGTTGCGAAGAGACACCTTGACAAAGAAAAAAAGGGCAAAGAAAAGCAAAATCATGAGCTTGAGTCAATCAATCAATCAATCAATAGACCTTTATTGGCATATAATGAGCTTGAGTCTATTTCTGTGTTCTGAAGCATCACAAAATATTGTGGTTCCTTAACAGAAGCACAATATGGCTTTCTTTTTGTTGTCAATTTTGTATTTCCCGACACCTTACCTGTATAATAACTGAGGAGTATGACGAGAAATACGGCCCTGGTCATGGTGAAAGGCAAAAGGAGTCCAAATCTGTGGCGTTATCTACCTGAAGCCCTCTCCTTTCTTTCTTAAATCCTCCAGGATCAGACCAGTGGTTCCTCATGCAAATTTGTCCTTGACCTGGCTGAAAATACTACACCTCCTCTGTAGGGATGATCCTGTGTAGCCAAGCCAATGACTAAGGAACGTATTTGCATAAAGAAAACTTTTTTTAAAAAAGGAAGAGAAAAGGTCCCTTGCTTTGTCCAGGATAAAAATGAGGCTGTAGTGGCATAATTCGCAGTGATAAAGACTAAGAAGGGTAACTGGGAGTAGTATGATGGGGATAGATGAATCTGCAGAGGAGAAATAGGAGGGGATCGGGTAAAACTTTTCCAATCCCATATCCAAAAAGCTGAAAAGGGACAACTGACGAAGAGGAGTAGAATTTTCTCTAGCAAATTTCTCCAGCAGTTCCCCTGCCTCCAGTGAGAAGGGATCAGGTCTTTTCCCCATCAATGATCTTTCTCATGTCTGATAAGTATGTGTGTCTATTGAGTGGAGTCTCTGCTTCTATCCCTCTCCAGTCTCAGGGACAGGTAGGGTAGAGGAACAAACCTAGGACATTACCTACATTCACTCCTGGTCTCTAAAACCCTTCTGACTCACCACCAGCATGTGCCTTTGCCTCTCTCCCATACAGGGCAGGATACCTACTGAAAGACTTTGTATATACCCTTCTTTCCTGCCTGCCCACCAGTATCAGCAAACAAAACCACTGCCTGGTGAGCACAGCCCCAGAGAATGAAATACGGTTATGGAAATTCAGAATCCATGCTTGCACATTATTAGGAAGCCCTTCCAACATCCCTGTTACACACATGTCTGCTGAGTCATCTCCCCTTAATGCCCCTCTTGCTTCCCCCTCCCTGGGAAACTGGAAGGTTTCTCACAAATGTGTGCAATAACTCCATGGCAATTCAGAGCATTTATTGTATTTGAAAATGGGCATGATTTAACCTGAATCATATTTCTTTTTGACTGCATGTTGTCAGACCTCCTACATTTTCAAGTAAGCCTTGTCCATGGCTCTTATGACAGGCACTGATCAAATTTAACTTGAAATGCTTCTAAATTCTTCACTCTAGGGAGAAACAGTGAAAGTTTTTGTCTCAGTTCCCTCCACATCCCGTTCAATATGATACAGAAACTTCAACTTCTCCAAAAACCTGCAGCAAGAACGTTAAGAGCATTAATCTGCTATCCCTGTGCTGCAAGATCTCCAGTGGTTCACAGTCTGTTTTCCAAAGTGCTACTTTTGACCAATGAAATCATAAATAGTTTCAACCCCATTTAAAGCATTGGTCTTCAACCATACCATATCTGGAGCCCATCTTCAACTCCCAGGTGGCAATATGAGACCCACTGAACTTCAAGCATATGACAGGGATGACATGAAATCACTGTTACGTGGCAGGGAGAGAGAGAACCAGACTTATGACCTCACCAGTACCAAGGCCAGGATCATGGGCACCTGACCAGAGACCAAGGAACAAGGCACAGTAGCCAAGCACCAGGAGGTATACTCAACAACCCAAGGATCAAAGTCAAGGAGGAACCCTCACCTCCACTGAGTCACCTCATCTCATCCTATTTGTGTTCTGCATTTGGAGGTATATGCTGTTTTCCAGCTGTTGAGAATCAGATACATAATCAAATGTTTGAAACAATCTCCTAAATCAGGAGATTAGGAACTTTTTGGACTGGTGTCTCCAGCCCAATAGGAGTTGATGGATCTTGCTTTCTGTTGGTTGGATAATCATGTTGCTTGGCTCTGCCCACTGATGGTGTAAATGATATGGCACACAGTTCTGTCTTGCATTGATACTGAAGCACAAAAGAGAAGGGAATAAGTGGGATTGTCATAAGGTTTCTCTGAAGAGGTCAGATCCTAAATTTGGTCTCACTTCAAAGCGATCAGTTTTCTTTGCTTCAGTGCAAGCACCTGCTAAACTCAGGGCCTTGAAAGGGAAGGGAAAAGGTCTTTGTCTCAGTTCCCCTTGTAAATGTGTCACTGTTGAGTAACCATAGACACCATCAATGCACCACAGTAGTAATCAGCTTCATCTTCAACCTGGATGCTAGCAATGGTCAAGTAGCAAGTGGCAGGAGTTGTGCTCATGTAATTCTGCCCACTATGGAGAAACTGGAACAAAAGGTTTCTTTACAGCCAGGACAGCAAACTTTGGAAGGCAAGAGAATGCAAAATATTTTTTAAAAATAATTACTGCATAGTTCAAGAGGAGAGTTGAACCTCAACGGCTGGATCCAATGAATTGCCATGATGAGGCAACCTCCAGATAGCCCAGGTCTATATGTGTATTGTAATAGTCTATGAATCGTTAGCATCAGAAACATACAAAGCTGAATACAAATATTATTTCAAGTTCAAAAAACGTGTATCTATTTATAATATGTTCCTTATCCACCTCTCAGGGCTGTTGTGAGGCTAAAATGCTGGATGGGTATGACAAGAACATAAAAGGAAACCTACACTTTCATAATGGTACAGGGAGCTATACACCCTGGGATGAGGGTGTTATAGGAAGAGAACTATACAAAAATAACCAATAAAAATGGGTTGTCTTAACTGATGCCATTAAATTCCAAGCTGTTTCACAGCTTCTTGCACTTCTGCAAAAGTGGAAGATGTTCTGAGCTGGAGCAAACCTCATCCAATCACTTCCTGGCATCCTGACTCAGCAGCATTTCAGTGGCTTCTCTCCCACATTTAACATTTTGGGACAGACAAGACACCATGGAGACATGAGAGAGTCCAGGGTGCTCTTGGAGCCGTGTACTACCCAGGCACTTTCTGTCCTCACACGGTGGCATTGGTGGGGTGGATTATGTAGAGGGATGCATTTGGGGCAGAGGTGGATGCTCCTTTCTTGGAGAAGGAGGTGGGATTTCACAGCCTTTTTGTACATGCCAACAGCCCCATTCGAACAACATCAGGCTCACATCACATTTCACTCTGCAGTCACTCTTGCTTCCCCTCCCTGGGGAGGAAGAGTGCACGTTTTTGACGAAGTTCCTCATGAGATTTTACCACCGTGGCATTGGCTAGCCCCGCTGGGCCACATGTAACAGTAATAATCAGCCTCATCTCCAGGCTGGAGATTACCGATGCTTAGATAACCCGTGTTGCCTGATTCAGAAACGCTGAACCGATCGGGGACCCCAGTTCCCCTGGTGCTGCTATAGAAGAGAAACCGAGGGGCCTGGCCAGGTATCTGTTGAACCCAGCCAAAGGCATTCTTGTTACTGCTGATAGTGCAGGGGAGTTTCGTCGTTTGTCCAAGAGAGCCAGACTGTGAGGGAGGCTGAGTCAGGGTGTGCTGTGAACTGGCACCTTGGCAAGAAAGAAACAAAGGCAAAACCATGAGCTTGATTCCATTTCTCAGCTCCGAAATATCAGCAGACACTGTGTTTTCATGACAGAAATACAGCATTGCTTTCTTTCTGTCACCTTACCTGAGCCATAACTGAGGAGCGTGACGAGAAACAGGGCCCAGGCCATGGTGGAAACCAAAAGGAGACCGAATTTGGGGAGCTAGAAGTTGTCTAGCTGAAGCCCTCCCTTTTCTTTCTTAAATCCTCCAGAACCTGAAGAAGGGCTCCTCATGCAAATAGGTCCACGCCCACTGGCTTCTCCCAAAAAGGCTGCACTTCCTCTTGAGAGATGATCCACTGTAGCCAAACCCATGACTAAAGAACCCATCTGTGTGAAGAGGTGAACAAGAGAGATTTCCTTTTCCAGGATGAAGAAAGATCCAACAATATACTAACCAAATTCACAGTGGGGAAGGCAAAGTAGGGGAATTGTCAACAGAAATCCATTACCCCAGGAAAGATGGGATTCCCTTACAAGTAATGGGAGGATGGACGAGATTGCAGGGGGTAAGAGGGGTAAGAGGAACAATGCTTAATCCATCCAATAGCTAATACTTTGAAGGGATGTGCAGTGAGAGAATCCCTCTCCTGATTTCTCCAGCCAATTTTCTCCTGCAGTTCCCACGCACCCAGCCTCATTCCAGGATGGTAACAGTCTGGGAGGAAAGTATCCTGGCCATTTAATAGAGGCTTCATGTGTAGAAATGGGCAGACGCTCCCAGCCTCATTCCAGGATGGTAACAGTCTGGGAGAAAAGTATCCTGGCAGTTTAATAGAGGCTTTATGTGTAGAAATGGGCAGTTGAAGCAAT